CGCGTCGAATCTCTTTAACTTTCTGTCGACAGTGGCGAACTTTCGGCTGTGGCGTCACCTCCGCGCAACTACGATGGTAACTAATTCGTTGTCACTTATATATCCATACGCTCTCCTCGAGAGTTCTTGAGAGAACGAAAGATATTGCTCCTTTACTCATTATATATATATATATATATATTATATATAAGCATTATACACACAGTATACACACATACATACTTAACACACACATGTATAGACACGCAATGTCTTTGTATCATACAAAGTATCGAGTGTTAATGATCGTCTAATGTCGGCTTATGTGTGTCCTGAGTTGTGATCACATTTGCCGTAAAACATCTATTTTGTGAAACACGTAACATAACGTCGCAAATATAAATCGGATATATAAACAGAAATAGTATGACAATGCAAAGATTATCTCAATCGCGCAAACGAATAATTGATACACGTCTGTGTGTAGATCGGATTCTCTCGAAACGGCATGTCCCTTCCGGAATTTTATTGAATTTACATATGTTATATATAATCGAATCTCACAGAGGGTGCGTTCCGTTTCATGCATGGACCGACAGGGGCATCGCGTAAGCGCATTCACTCGTTCCCTTTTACCCATCACTCTGGATGCGTTCCGTTTCATGCATGATGCGCATGGAGAGCACATGAGATTGTTCCGTTTCACTCTATGCGCAGTTTATCTACTTATGGGAACGGTTTCCCGCGTCATGCCGCGCAGCGCATGAGAGCACATGGACTACCTCAGCTCTCGAGGTGGTGCAGTCCATGCGCGAGGGTTATTTAGACGAGAAAGAAACCGTCTCGTAAAGTTCGCTACGAATTGTGGAAATTTGTTATTCTAGAATTTATAACAAAAATATTCTTAAAAAAGTTACACGTTGATGGTAAATTAATTTAACATATCTGATGATGCGCTTATAAATCGTTTCGTTTTTCTATGCGCACTAAGAGTAATGGGAAAAAGAGAACGAGTCAATGACTGCGTTCAGCGGAGAAAATTGATCAGTGAGCGTTCAGTAATTTTTTTAATATGATTGGATGCATTCAGTACTACAACTGCTCTTTGAACGCTCAGTGAGTTCTTGCATCTGATTGGCATATTCCAAAATCTTTAAGATTCGTATATTTCTGATGATAAAATTAATTAAGGAAAGTAATAAAGATAAAGTTAATTAAAAATAATTAAGGAAAGTAAAATAACAAAGCGTAAACTGAGAATCAGGGAATCGCTTGATGGGATTTAAAGAACACTTGGAATTTGTAGAATGGTGATGGAAAATAGAGTTATTCGCCACATATTTGGTGCTCCAATTATGCATTCATCATGCATGAATAATAATAATGTTACACAATGGACAGCCGAATCTCGAGAATGCGACTGAGACTTGAATGTTCGAATAGAGTCGATTGGAGAGGAGACTCGTGAGGCGTAACACGTGAAAGTTTTTAGATGCGCATAGTTCATTGCGTGGGTTCCAAGAGAAGGTGGTACTAGTTGTATCTTTTTAGTTCTAACTAGTATTAGTGGTAGCACATTACGTAGACGATAGAATGAAGATAAGGGAATAAACCTCGGAGAGAACACGAAGTTAAGGGAGGGTCCCAGATGCGCACATCCACAGGATCCCGAGGGTCCCATTGAAAGCATCTATTCACATCGGCCAGTGAATAGTAATTTTGCAGTCTACGACCAATGAGAATATTATCTCGCTTTAGCTAATTAGCGATGTGTCCAATTGAGATCCTCCCAAAATTAACAATTGATCGACACACGTACACACAGATTTACACGTACATACACAAACATATACAATAGGTAAAGCGTCCGATTTTTCAGGCATTCAATAAGAAGAAACATTCACACACGTGTATAAAACGTATAATCCGCAAGAAAGAGAGGAATCAGTAATCGATAAATCGCTTGATTAAGGATGATTTTTCCAATGCGGTACTGACTGCTACCTTCTCCTATTGTTTATTTAGCCAAGTATAAGAAAACAAATCCTCCCTTACACCCGAGAAGAAACATCCCTCAATTAAATGTGGTACTAAATTATTTTTGGTGAATAATAAACAGAGTTGTCACTGAGTCGTGAGATCGTTGTATACTACAAGTCACACCTATACAATTCGTATTCTCAGAACGGCATAATTATTTTCGTTCTTTGACGATATATAATTTCTTTTTTTACTATTTGCAGGTCTCGTATTAATCTATTGTCCGAGTATGCGTCTAGGAGCGCGCAGACGATTCCGTTGTACCAGAATTAACTAGAATTTTCGTAGCTTCAATCAGAGCTGTATAGGCTTAGGGTCCCTCCCTTCTAACTCTGCAGTACATTAATCGACATGTGCATGACAGTATTTTATATAGTACAATAGGGCAAAGAGAATTAGTAGCGTAGCATTGTAAGCGAGACGCATAACAAACACCCACTGTGCGTGTTTATACGTAGATGATGTAATAAAAAAAAAAGAGAGAGAAAAAGCAAACGAAAAGTTATGTTGTAGCGTCGTCTGTCATAAGATTCGTCACGATGGCTTCTTTGTGACTCGCTTTCTACCTGCTTGGGAAATAATGGTACCAACAAGTAGATTTACAATAAAGTATTCTTCGTCATTTGTGATACACAGGATTGGCGAACGTTTATTGTAAACCTGCTACTCGAGCTCCTTGTAAGAAGATACTTTTCACTAGTCTTACAGAGTGAAATTAATAGCGATAGTATTGACTCCTTTATCGTCGTAGCACATTTTGCATAATGAACTTTCTACAATAAATCATTACCGAAGTTTTAAGTCTCAAGCTATAAAAAATTGATCACTTATAAATTATTCTTCTCACATTCGATTATGATTGGTTAATGTCTCATTTAAAACTTAAGACTTAAATAATAGCTTTATTCTAGGAAACTCATATCACATAGTGAATCAAGGAGAAGAATCAGTTATTCAAAACTCTTTTTTTTTTTCTAAAATGTGAGAAAAGGTAGGATTCTTGGTTCATTCACTTATGCACTATGCGTTATGCATTATGTAAAAGTTGAGCCGCGGTTTTTTCTTTCAATAACTTTTGAATAATCTTATTTGTATAAAAAATATTATTCTCCAAGTTTATGATGGCAAAAGAGATCTTTCATTTAAAAGAGAATCTGCATATTATAGACAGATATATTGAAAAAAGAATTAATAAAAATTCAAATAGTCAAACATAGAAATTTTTTTTATACAAGATTTATTATATGTATATATAAGAAATATATTTTTTGTTTCATAATTGTCGGTAATGTAGATCATGAGATTTACCACGGTCGATAAGATCGATTTCTTATTTATCGTAGCGAATTTTTTACTGGAGTTACCGACGGAACGCTCATTTCGTATTTCCCATGCCAGAGAGAAAATTATTTTCGTGTTTGCAATGTCCTAATCATACTAACACACAATAAGAAAGATTTTTATATATCAGATATATTAAGCCATCCCAATTAGCATACCATATTTAAGAAACATTTTTTAAATGTTTATTCAATGATTTTACAACTATTTTACATTAAATAAATATTTAAAAAATATTTTTTAAATATGGTATGCTGATTGGGATATAGCAAGACAATGACACAAATATCTATCAAGTTAGAAAGACTGCGTTATTATCTTTGGATAAAAAACTACGTGATTTCCTCGATGACATAACATTATTATTACCAAACTAATATATGTATGACTTATTGAATTTGCTTGTGATGAAATATGCAATACCTAGTTTCGGATATATATGAGAGCGCACCGACTTTTCAATATTATTTTTCTTCGAGCATTCATTTAAACCTGAAGTTAGTCACGAGCACTGCCCGATGGACAGACATCGCGACCGTTAAATCGACATGAAAAGTGATCTAAAAGTTATGCGGAATGCACCCTCTATAGGTGTTTTAAGCCTTAAAATCTATAAGAAATTAACTAATTGTAGTCGAATTTGAAGAAAATAATTGAGTCTGTGCTTCAAACACGCCCATGAATTCGACATTATTTTTTAAAATACTGGCAACACTGCAGTTATCAACTTCAAATTTTATTTTTACACGTAAACCGCGAATTGTGATAAGTATTTCGCATAGCGGATTATTATTAATTGTAACGGAGAGAACGAGATTATATCATTGCGTACCATCGCAATCATGCACTACGTGTACATTCAATACGAGAATCGTAAAGGAAGTTGTAAAAGCAACCGCGATTAGCAAATTTGATTCAAAGAATTTCGACACGACGAAAAAGTACAAGGTTCAGGATGACAAAGAAAAATGTCGTGAAGCAGTTATTTAATTCTTTCTATTGCAAGTAAATATGACGTTATTGTTTATACTATATACATTTTCTTACCATATTATATGATACATTAAAATTAGCGTTATTTCTTTTCGTATTCTATCCGATTCTATCGATTTTTTAAAGCAGGGATACGATTTAAGTGTATATAACCTCATATTCAAGCGATATATAGGATATAGCAGAACAAGAAATGTACGTAACGTTTTTTACCTAATGTATGTAATATTTTAATTGGAATTAAAAATCTGTTTTATTGACATATATCGATTAAGTTTGGAACCGGCATTCTTCAGGCCGAAATCACACGATGCGGAATAGAGAGTGCGTCATTGAAGCAACCAATCAGCGCTATTCCGCATTTTGCTTTGTAGCACTGATTGGTTGCTTTAAATGACGCACTCTCTATTCCGCAGTTTTATTCCGTACCGTTTCGGCCCATTTCGGCCTCACAATTCTTCGAGAACCACGTGATCGTACGAGGCGGCGTGGTCCATCTATCTATTGTTTACGCGGTTCACACGAGGGTTGCATCATTGTTAATTATTGAAAGTTAAGGATACGCAGTGCGTTTCATCTTTCATTCGACATAAAGTTGTTCGCGATTAAGCTTTGTTCAAAGAACGATCATTGTCGCGATCTCGGATAATCGACCTTTCACTGATCGGCGAGTTTACAGCGATGGGTTAACACGTTGGCAGTGGTTAGCAGTTGCCATTCTCGCGTCCTCGTATGAAACATTTTTTTATTAATTCTTTGGATAGCTATCTCACGACTAAGTGAAAATGACGTCACAAGAGCTTCCCGCTAGTCTGCCCGATACGCAGAACGCGGATGCTATATTGACACAATCACAGGAAGTATCGAGAAGCCAGCAGCCAACGATGACTGTTTGGGGAAGACTATGTCCTAGAAGGCCATTCCTGCGAAGTCTGGGTAAGAGCTTGCCTCTTGCATCAGTAGAAACTTCACTTATAGTGTAATTCTTCGAGATTAATTCAAGTTAGAGCTCTAGAATTTAAATTAGGCAAATAATTATGATAAAACTTTTTGTTTTATTTCAGAAATGGTCAGAGATGATGTTTACACCTTGGGACGCTCCCCGGGCTGTGACATTTGTATAACTACAAGAGAATTGTCAATAAAGCAACTGTCTGTTGTTAGTAAAGTACACTTTCGCATATACAGGGAACGTGTTAGTAACATGAATGAGACAGTAGTATACCTGGAAGATTTAAGCCGCAATGGAACTTATGTTAATCAAGAATTGGTTGGTCATGGAAAACGTGTCATCATTGGAAATAATTCTGAGATAGCCTTAGCCAGGAGTTTCTTCTCATGTATCTATTATATATTAAAGTACAATGTATAAATTATTGCTAATGATAAAAAAAAATTAATCTATTAAATTGCAGTTTATATATTTATGGGTGTAAATGCACTTGAGATTAATTGTGAGTTACCACTGGAGCTGAAACAAAGGTATGTAATTGGCCGTAAATTAGGAACTGGTGCCTGTGGCGAAGTAAGGCTACTATTTAAGAAGGATGGTTCTGAAACATTTGCTATCAAAATTATACAAAAAAATTATTTTAATATTGGAACTGGGAACATTCTCAATAATCCAGAGAATGTTCGAAACGAAGTTGAAATATTAAGAAAATTGAAACATGTAAGTTCATACATATTTGCAACATCTCCCTTGTATTGTGGTAGTTTTTAATAGAGTTTTGAATTTTTGTTTCAGCCTTGTATAATTCCTTTGAAGGATATTTTTGACACGACCGAAATTATGTACATTATTCTTGAATTAATGGAGGGTGGCGAGCTCTTTGACAGAATAAGAAGCAAAGGGAATTTATCTGAATCGTGTGCAAAACTGATATTTTATCAAGTTGTACACGCTGTTCATTATCTCCACAAACAGGGAATTACACACAGAGATCTGAAGGTAATTTTAATTAAGGAATTTAAAATATTAGCTGTATGTTCAATGTACAACTAATATCAATATTATATCATTACATAAATAAAATTTGCAGCCAGAGAATATACTGCTGAAAGACAATTCAGAAAATCCTTTGGTCAAAGTATCAGATTTTGGTATGTCAAAATTCGTAGATGCTCAAACAATGATGAGAACATTCTGTGGGACTCCTATGTATGTTGCTCCTGAGATTTTGGCAACTAATGGACGCAGTCCTTACACAAATCAAGTGAGTATTTATATTATACAGGACAGGCACAAATATTCCAGCAAAACTCTGAGATTTTATAGGAAATTTTAATTCTCTAAACCAAATTTCTATAAACATAATGTTAAAAAATGCTTTTTTAAAAGTTGGAATTCAAAAGTTGAGAATTAAATTATCTTTTAGAGATAAGATCAAAATGATTTTTATATATTCTATTTCTATTAGTTGAGATAATCAATTTCAAATATATAAAAAAGTTTTTAACAAAGTTTTTACACTATAATATCCTGGAATTTTGGGACATTTAGATTTTTGATTCTTAAAATCACAACTTTGTCCAAGACTTGGTGGATTAAAGAATGTTTATACAATATTTTAAATAATTAAGTTATCCTTTTTAAGTAAAGCATTAGCAAATGATCTTTGATCTTTGTCATAAACAGAGTCTTGGATTTGTTTTTAAAATTTATTCCTGATGAGATTTTAATAACAATATATATAATAAATATGTTATTTATTATTAAATGAATATTATTTAATAATTATAACAAATATTCTTCTTGAATATACGAGCTTGCAGGACTAGGAATTAAACTTGGATCTTTTTTTTTAACTGTTTTACGACTAAGCTATTCTACATCTCGAAAAATAATTATGGCCGTTTGGATATATATTTTCAGTACAATCAGTATATATCTGAACACGGCTTATGCAGATAAATCGTTTTTATATCACTGGAATTCTTTTAGGTTGACGTATGGAGTTTAGGAGTGATATTATATGTCAGTTTAAGTGGCAGAGTTCCTTTTACAAATAATAATGCTAGTTTAGCGGATCAAATTAAAGGTGGAATGTATCATTTTCGATTACCGCCTTTTCAACGAGTATCGCAGGATGCTATACATTTGGTAAGTAGTAATGTCTACATTTATTAAGTGTGATTGATTATGCAGTTAACAAAATATTGTATTCTAGATTAAATGTATGATGACAGTGGAACCGAAAAAACGTATAAGAATACCACAGGTCTTATTACATCCATGGTTACGTGACATAAATATGCAAAGAGAAGTCAACAAACTGATGTCCGGTTATAATGGGGATAATGACGAGAATTTATCACCTCCAAATATTCATCCGAATAAACGTCCTCGGCTTATGCTTTGAAAAAAAAAAAGAAAAAAAACAGAATATAAAGAATATCTCATTTCGCGAGTAAGAAATAGAGGAATATCTAGTATCCTCTCGATAGATCTGATATACTTTTCATTAACGTTGTGATACATGTATACATTACCCACTTATTAGAATAATTTTCATTCAAAAAGCGGGCATTTATATAATAACTTTTAATAAATTCACAACATATATCGGAAAACTATTAAGTTTATGAAATAAATTTAGATCTCTTGAAGACTTTAATGGTACAAACATAGTACAACAAGTAGAAATAATATTTTTTTCACTTAATTGCAATTAAGTATACTTGACGATTAACTCAGTATTAAAAAATCAAGGAATAGATACATAAGATTTATATAAATACTCTGTGATAAGATACGTATAGAATACTTTGCACAATATATTATTTTTTGACTTTGTATCTCAATTTGATGAGTACAAGAATTTGTGATTTAACTTACGACATACAGTATGTATTTGTGATGTACGAGATAAGTAAAATGCTCTATAAAGGCTATTAATATTAAAGTGCCAATTTATAGCTTTATGTACTTTAATTAGAAAATTTAGAATGTTTTTCAAGGATATAACAATGCTAATAAAAAGAGACTAAGACTGCCTTACGTTTAATGCCAAATGTGCAAAGAAAATGTAAGCTTAATTTATCTTGTGCATTTAATTATCGATACGTGTTTATCACCTGTTGTACAAAATTAAACTTAATATTCAATTATACTAAGTTCTTTATTGAAAATGATGGACCTTATACAATAAAGAGGAACTTCTCGCGAACTATGTCCTACTTTTTTTTTTTTTATTCCTTTTTGCTTAAATATTGCTCCTCACTTTGGCAGGCATTCGGAAGCGTTGTCTCAAGATCTGGTTTCTCTTTGTTCGTAAGCCCAGCCAACAAACGTTTTAATTGCGCTATTGCTTTTCCTGGATTCAGACCCTATTGAATACACAGCGATATCATGTGACGATTAAAATTAAAATCTAGACTTTGTCTCTTGAAGGAACTAAACTTTTTTTTTGCAGGAAAAAAATAGTGAATAATGTCGTTTAAGATTCACCTTTGGACATGTCTTTGTGCAATTGAAGATCGTGTGGCATCGATATACCGAATAGAAGTCTCGTAATTTTGCCAATCTTTCTTTATGTGCCATGTCCCGCGAGTCTATCACCCACCTGTACGCCTAGCGATGTAACCAAATGGATATACATGTAAATAATGATGTATCTTTGTTTCGTTTGCCATAGAAAAATGTCGATTTGTTACCTGCAGTAGCACCGCAGGTCCCAGGTACTTATCGCCTAGCCACCAGTAAGGAGGACACGAAAACGTACAACATGCGCACATTATGCATTCATATAAGCCATCGAGCTTCCGCCTGTCCCTTGGACTTTGCAAAATTTGCCGCATACCGAGAAAGTCGTCCTCACCCGGTCGCTTTAGATAGGGATCGATTTTCTGGAATTGTCCTAAGAACTGTTCCATATCCGGTATTAAGTCTCGAATCACATACGCATGCGGTAGAGGATAGATTATCAGTGGCTGCAGAGATTCTTTTACTTTTCTGAAAATTTTAAGCAGTTTCAATAGCAACGTTAACGTGATTTAAGGAAAGGTTTCTCTTTGAAGTAAGTTTTATCTCGAGAAGGCTAGAAAAATAACTATGTAAACACGAATATAATTAACACGACCATTTCAAATTCCAGACATTTAGACTTCCAAGTATCCAAAGTGTTCCAATCATCTAAACATTAAAATTATTCACATTCCGAAATCCTAAACATCCGGACCAGGCTACCAAAGCTACATCAAGTTTTTTTAAGGATCAATTCCGAAGAACTCAATTATTCTTATCGCCTGATTTACCGACGTTAAAAAATTTATGGTTGAACGACGAGTTACGTTATGCAAGCCAAGGTATTCACGCCGTTTATGTTCATCCCGCAACATCCGCAGATGCCTTCGCGACAGGACTTCCGGAAGGACAATGTTGGATCGTGTTGCGCCTTGATAAACGTCAATACGTCCAGTACCATTGTGCCGCATTTGTTCAGATCCACGCTGAACTGTTGCATGTACGGCTTGACTTTCGGCGTTTCTGGATTCCATCGATATACACGTACAATTTGTAGTCTCGGCTCAACTTTTGCTTCCTACAAAAGATCAGTAAATAATAATCGCATCCAAACATAGTGTATGTATATATGTTGTATGATCTTTCAATTCTTTCAAAAACTTTATAATCGGAGACATTCTTTTCTCATGTTGTAATATATTGTACTCGAAGAGAAAACTTGTATCAAAATTTGTTCTCTTTGTAGAAAAAATTTTATATCAGTTTAAATATAGAAAGTACATAACTACAAAAAACAGATATTTAAATAATACAAAGAAAAAGCTACAACTTGTTAACGTTAGCAAAAAGATGTATAGCACATTGTTGTAGTAACTCGTTTCATGTCGGAGACGAAGGAAAATTCTCGCGCTTTCTCTCAAGTGCGGGATGACTAACTTTCGAAGGCGTTTTGCACGCAGCAATGCCTGCGATTTCCGCCGCTACCGCTTTGTTCGCCTCTGTTTGCGTTTTCTTGGCCGATGTTGACAACCTCGATTCGCAAATGCGTGCGAGTCCCCGCGACCAGAAGCGGCTCGTGGATGCTATTCTGCTTACGGCAGCATACATGACCCACCCCCTGTCGAGTGACCTGTCGTCGCCCCCACGCCCGTACAATATTATCTCGAGGACGATGTCTTCGTGATGTCACGTCGCACTATTTCAATCATTACGTCTCGTCGCGGTCGCATTTATCTCGGACTCGTCAAACGTCACACGAACAAAATATCATCGAGAACGAACTTCACGAACAGTCTGCGACGGTTTATGTCAAATTTATGTCATCGATTCATAAGACATCTTCGATAGTTTAAAGTTGGCTTTAGACGATAGAACTTGGGCCAAATTTTAGCCTACAGTTCTGTTTATAATTTTATGCCATGTACTTTCTATTTGTTGGTATCTTCACAGATTTTTAATATTTTTATGCAAGAAGTATATACAATATATCCATAGATTTTTATAAGAAGTCGGTATGCTGATTAATATATATTTCAATGTTTTTGTGTTACACACGGCACATGAAATAATAAATAATTTTGTTTTTATCAATTTTATTTATTGATATATTTTTTGCAAAACGCAAAGCGCACATTCTTATCGTTTGTTTACAAAATGATTTCTTTGTTTGTTTGATTTTTTTTTAATTCAGTTGATTCCACGTTGAAATTCTTGTCAGGAATCGATCGACCGTTGCAGTTATTTTTGATTTAACAGAATGTAAATTACATTACGTTATTTGTCATGGTGCAAACAAGTTACAATAATCGCGATAAGAGTGACGCGCTTGACCTTATGATCATCAAATAATTTCGAAATAACTTTATTGAGGAATATCTAACGAAGTTTCCGTATCGCAATGTGACATACATCCGTTTGGAAATTTATAGAATAACATATCGAAGCTATTGTTTACGCAATTATTTCGAATAATCTCGGAGCGCTGGAAATTATTGAACGTCTGTCAAGCTGTTTAAAATTTAAAAAATAGCAATAGTAGAAAGCAACGAAAATAGTACAAGCATTAACATTGTTCAAAACTATTTTATCTCTACCGCGTGCGTTTATTTGTCATTACAATATAATAATGATATAAACGACGTTCTCATCGACTGTTTAAATTGCCTGCTGAAAGGTCGTCGGGTCATCGCGCGAGCGATATACGAGAGAGTTATTATAGATTAACTCCTACAAAGAGTGAGAGATCAAGCCGGTCTTTCGTTGCGTAAAATGCGATTGGCGGGTATAGGCATACGTCGTTAGTCATCGTTGTGTTGCCGTTGCGCCGACAACGAATCACGCCAACCACCTGTGGCATCCCACGTTTCATTCGCAGGCACAAACAGCGAGTTATCCAGGAGGGAAGCCGTCGGCAGTTTCTCGTAATTGACCGCTGTAAACAACGAATAATTAACAGCTAGTGTTTGCAGAGATTACAAATTGGAGCAAGGTGAGTGACGACGAAGGATGGTTTTATTCTGAAATTATTAAATTTGGAGATTACGAATGTCATCGATATTTTATAATTCTAAATAAACCATGCCACTCTCGTGATCATCATCGTTTTGAGAAAACAACGTTGAAAATTACAGATGACACAGTGCACGGTCCTGGTGATTGGTAGCGGTGGTAGAGAACATGCCATTTGTTGGAAGTTGTCTCAGTCGCCGTGTGTAAGTTAAAAATTAACAATAAATAACAACGAAATGGACAGAGATTATAATACAGTGTACTTTCTGTTTGGTATAGGTGAAGGAGATCTTGGTCGCTCCTGGAAATACTGGCATCAAAGAAGTGGATAAAGTGCAATTAGTTGATTTGAATGTCAAGAATACTAAGGTATACGTAATGTCACTCTGTAATTTTTTCTTGGATCAGTCATGTGATGTTAATTATACCATTTTTTTGTAGGAAGTTGCCAAATGGAGCAAACATAATAATGTTAATTTAGTAGTAGTGGGACCAGAAGACCCCTTGGCTCAAGGTTTAGCAGATGATCTAAAAGACGTGGGAGTAAAATGTTTTGGACCCCAAAAAAAAGCAGCCCAGATTGAAGCCAATAAAGATTGGGCAAAACAATTTATGGACAGAAATCATATTCCTACTGCTAGGTGGCAAGGCTTTACCTCTGCTGTGGATGCAAAGAATTTTATCAAAAGGTATAAGAAATTTTTTATTGAGGAAAATGACATGAAAGCTTATATACTCTTTTTTTGTCATAGTGCTCCCTTTAAGGCACTTGTGGTGAAAGCTTCAGGTTTAGCAGCTGGTAAAGGTGTAGTAGTGGCAAAAAATCAGCAGGAAGCTTGTCACGCGATAGACGAAATGTTAAATGACAAAAAATTTGGAGCTGCTGGTGAGACTGTAGTTGTTGAGGAACTTTTGGAAGGTGAAGAAGTATCTGTTCTTGCATTTACAGATGGTAAACAAGATTGTCCTTATATTACCTGAATTGTTTTTTTAATAGAAACAAAAATTTAAAGTTTGTTGACGTTTAGGTAAGACTGTCGTACCTATGATGCCTGCACAGGACCACAAGAGAATCTTTAACGGAGATCTCGGTCCAAACACTGGTGGAATGGGAGCATATTGCCCATGTCCACTGTTAAGTGAAACAGAATACGAACAGGTGAAAATAAATGTTCTTCAGAAAGCTGTTGATGGACTTAGAAAGGAGAACATCCCGTTTGTAGGTTTGTAATTTTTTTACTGACAATGAATAATGTTAAATCATGTATAAGTACGTATTATTTATATGAAACTTGCAGGAGTATTATATGCCGGTTTAATGCTGACTGAAAACGGCCCGAAAGTCTTGGAGTTCAATTGCAGGTTCGGCGATCCCGAGACTGAAGTAGTATTACCGCTCTTGGCATCAGATTTGTTTACAATTATGAAGGTACAATTGATTTTTAGAAGATATTCATACAAAGATTTTATCTGCGATATATGATATGTGTTTGATATATTTAGTATGATTATACATATTATAGGCTTGTTGCGACGGAACTTTAAGCTCGTCTCTCGTTTCCTGGCGCGAAAACGTATCCGCTGTGGGTGTGATTTTAGCATCTCGAGGCTATCCAGCATCTTCATCCAAAGGTCAAATTATAACAGGCATTGATGAAGTGGCACGTAAACGAGATTATTTTGTCTTTCACAGCGGCACGGCTGTTTCATCAGAAGGCGAATTAATAACCAACGGTAAAAAGCGGCAAAATAAAGGATATGTAAACAACTGTCTAAGTTGCTAATTATAATGGCATATTTATAGGTGGAAGAGTTCTTATCACCGTCAGTATCGCGTCAACCTTGGCAATGGCAGCAGCTAGAGCTACCCAAGCTGCTGACTATATATCGTTCGATGGAAAGCAATTTAGAACAGACATCGCACATAAAGGAATCGCCAGGTATAATGATTGATTTGCACACAGATCAATAAAATAATACCTCGCACAAGATTAACAATTAAACGTTCCAGATCTATTTTGCAGAGAGGACATTTAACTTATGAAAGTAGTGGCGTAAGTATCGACGCTGGTGATCATCTTGTATCCGCTATTAAACCAGCTACTTGCTCCACAAAACGCGCTGGCACTGTGGGTGCCATAGGCGGGTTCGGTGGCCTTTTTGATGTAAAAGCCGCAGGTTACAACGATCCTATTCTTGTGTCAGGCACTGATGGTGTTGGTACCAAATTAAAGGTGAATATCAAGTTAAAGTTTTTCTACCTTCAAAGAAAATTATTAGAACCAGCCTGTTTATGAACAATTTTTTTCTTAGATAGCAATTGAATGTAAGAAGCACGATACAGTGGGCATAGACTTGGTAGCTATGTGCGTGAACGATATCCTCGCACACAACGCGGAGCCGCTGTTTTTCTTGGATTACTTCGCTTGTGGCAAACTCGACGTTGAAGTAGCTACGAAGGTCATAAATGGGATTACTGAAGGTTGCAAGCAAGCAGGATGTTCCTTGGTAAAGTGTTTATTATATAACTTAAAAATCTTTTTCAAGACCAGAATAAAGCAATATATATTGCCTGATAAATATATTTACACACTAATAACTGCAGATATAGGCAATTTACTTATATTTTAGTTGATCAAGTATGAATTAACATTTTTAGATTGGAGGAGAAACTGCTGAGATGCCAGACATGTATCCCGAAGGAGAATACGATTTAGCAGGCTTTGCAGTAGGTGCACTCGAAAAAGGCAATTTGCTACCACGCGTGAATGACATTAAGGAGGGTGATGTGATAATCGGTCTTCCATCAAGCGGCGTGCACAGCAATGGTTTCAGCTTGGTGCGAAAAGTTTTGAAACTCGCAGATAAGAAATTTTCAGACGTTGCACCTTTCTCAAAGAATAACCGAACGATTGGTATGAAATGTTTTCTAAATTAAGCTGCTTTCAATAATATTAAGATGACACGCGGATTATAAAAAAATATGAGAATAATGTAATATTATAGGTGAAGAACTGTTGGAACCAACTAAGATTTATGTAAAAAGCGTTATTCCTACCTTGCGAACTAATCTGGTAAAAGGATTCGCGCACATAACTGGTGGAGGTCTTACTGAAAATATTCCTAGAATTTTACCTGAGAATTTAGATGTAACGTTAGACGCGGAAAAGTGGAATGTTTTGCCAATATTTAGCTGGTTAGCAGCCATTGGTAAGTATATTTGTCCACAGTTTTTTGTATTTCTATTTCTAAAAGTCGCAAATATATCAAGTAATTTACGTAAATGTTAATCGATGTATAATGCTATTTATTGTTACATAGGTGGAATTAATAAATACGAGCTGTTAAGAACATTTAACTGTGGAATCGGTGCGGTCTTGATATGTTCCGAGAAAGACAAGACTGAAATTTTAACTAAACTAAAAAACGAAAGCCCTGTGGTTATCGGAAGCGTTAATAGACACTGCGGTAATTATATAAATATAATTAACAAAATTAATTACATCAATTTATACATTCGTGTTAATTACGTTAACGCAGATGGACAGGCTAGAGTGCACGTAGAGAACTTTGAAAAAGTTTTCGAACCGGAAATGAAACAATATGTTCCAAACTTGGTTGCAACACTGAGTAAGCCTCTTAAGAGAGTAGGTGTCCTAATATCAGGTAGCGGCACAAATCTTCAGTCATTAATTAACGCTACTCAAGATCCGTCTCAGCACATTGGAGCGGAAATAGTTCTGGTGATTTCCAATAAGCCTGGCGTTGAGGGATTAAAACGTGCTGAGAGAGCTGGTATTAAGACAGTGGTAATTAATACAAATTTATATATAGTTACAAATGGAAAGGTAAACATGGATCTATTTTTTCTATAATTTTTTCTTGTTTAATTCATAGGTAATTAAACACACCGATTATCCAAGCCGCGAGACCTTCGATGCAGCCATGAATGTAGAACTTCACGCTGCCGGTGTTGAAATAGTATGCTTGGCTGGCTTTATGCGAATTCTTTCAGAACAGTTTGTGAAGCACTGGAAAGGAGCTTTGTTAAATATACATCCCTCATTGTTGCCATCTTTTAAGGGTGCTAACGCACACAAGGATGTTTTAGCAGCGCGTGTGCGTGTGTCGGGTTGCACTGTGCACTTTGTTGAGGTAGGCAATCAAAGGTCGCGTTCAGTAGACTCAACAGTTTTACAACTGTTTTATAATTCTTCACTGAGATAGGATTATTCCTTTAGATCTAAAAGTATAATATAATTTATATAATCAACGAGACGATTCATAAAACGGTTGCAAAACTGTTGAGTCTGCTGAACGCAGCCAAAAAGATTGAATTTTTTCTTGTTAAATCAGACTAAATGAGAAGATAACTGTAGCATTTTTACTCGAGGGGGCTGGATGGTTTAAAGAGTCAAAAAATCATTCAGCGAGAGCAATAAAAACCAAAAGAAATGAGATGATACAGTAGCCTTGTTTAAGATCAATAACAATATCTTCTTCACTGCTATGTATTTTATTTGCTGATGCTGTCATGAACTCCGATTCTTTTAATAAAAATTGATTTCCTTGAAATTTTCTTTTGCACACACGAGATCGCGAAGTAGGAAAATCGTAACTTCCTTTTTGTTTCGCACTCATTTTTACGTTCTACGTTTTACGTTCGCACTCTTCGAAGACTTCACTGCTGAAAAGTGACTCTTGAGCCAGTTTGAATCTAGAAAAAAAAAACAGAAATAGGGCAGATATTTCTTTGTTTGAAGAAATAACAGCCGTACGGCGCGCCGCGGGAGATCGAACTCAAACGCGCCTAATTTTTACCTGTACACCATTTCAATAAATCGTGAATAACTCCGTTATCTTACGTTATTTCTATAAACAGCTTTGGCAACATATTTTCAAGACAATCAACTTTCCAAAAATAAAATTTAAAAAAATTGATTTTTATGACCCTCTAAACCACCCAGCTCCCCTTAATGAATCATTATTATCATAATCTCTTCTTCCTTTTTCAACTAGGTTGACATAGATTCAGGAGCTATCATTGAGCAAGAAGCGGTGCCCGTGTTCCCAAATGATACTGAGAAAATTTTGCAAGAACGTGTAAAGACTGCAGAGCATCAAGCTTATCCTCGTGCCTTAAAACATCTGGCGACTGGTCGTATAAAATTGAAAGAAGATGGCACTCTTCATTGGAATTAGAGATCATATGTACATATATACACAACGGGTTTATAAAATATAGAAGTTATATTTTTTGTACTATTATATCTAAATCTCATTATTTACATATGTACAAATAAGTTTACGATATCACATCTTTTCTGTTTATCTAAGTAATTTTTTTACTAAATAAGTCGCTTATGAAATTAAATAAGTCTTGGGATATATTCACTTTCGAGTTATCATGACTAGTATCTGCATATTTTTTAATATTTTTAGAAGGTGATATTGATAATGCTTTCTCGGCCAATTTATCCAATCTAACATGGAGCATTTGTTTCTGAAGTATAGGAACTAGCAAGTTATATTTATCAATTTTATTATTTATCTGCCTTGTTGTAATCTTGAATTTCTCCAACTTATCATTCCATATTAATCTATCTTTTGGAGTTAATGGGAGCTCGCTTATATCATTACGTGCTTCTGACAATTTTTTTTTCAATTCTTCAGTCTCTTCTCCGATTTCTTTTGACAATTGTATCCATTCTGGAGTGAAGCCATTGTCTATCAGTATCTGCAATCGTGATCAATATAAATAAGTCAATTATGTTCAAATCATTGAACAATAATATCCTATATATTTCTATATCTGATGCAATTTACCTGATTCAATTTATGGGTCACAAAATCAACATATGGATTCATAGCGTTTGTGGCTTTCAATGGCTTTCCCATTCCAGGTAAATCACTGAATTCACCCTTGTTCATCGCCTCCTGAATCAAATCTTCCACTAAACGATCCATGCCATAACGGGTTTTAATATCCTTAGCTTTCTGCTTATCCATGCCGATTAATGTATTACGCTCTTCTGCCTGTAATTTCTTCAATCTATGCTCCATTACATTGTCAACTGCCTTTTGAGCTCTTTCTATTGTATGCAATCTTTGTCTTTTGCTTGGTGTACCAATTCCTACATCGAAAGTCAAGTAATGACGATGCTGTGGTGCTGTATGCTGAAAGAAAAGTCAATTAAAACTCAATTTTAACTAAACTAAAAAATTCATTTTAACTAAACACACATCTTTCTGCTTTTTCTTTTTATGTTAAAAAAAAAGGAAAGAAAATTGAACTATAAAGTTCAATTAAAAACTTTTGATATACATACATATATTTGTTAAATAGAACTACCTTAATATCAAATTCTTCCACTTCCAATGATGCCTCTTCATCTTTCTGAACATGCCTGATTCTCCGAATCTCTCTATAGGCACTTTCAATCTACATTAAACAATCATACAACGAAACAGATTTAATTTACTTATTTATCTCAAGAAACACAATGTATTCTCGTGATATATTACCTCGGAAAATCTAATAGCATCGGCTTCTGGTGTTCCACTATCCGGGTGAAACCGTTTTGCAAGATGAACGAACGCCAATCTTAGGGTCTCGTCCTCGCAATTCTCTGCTACTCCTAACGTTTCATACAGTTTCTGTCAAATACGATTTAAATTATTTCAGTAGTACAAATTACACATATTATATAAAGATTATATAATATTCAATATTATACCTTTGCAATTTGCTTAGCATGAAATCGATGCACGAACTTCTTGGAGAAGATCAACTCGGCGGATGACACGTGGGGAAAATAAGCTCCCGGCTTGGTAAACAGTCGATTTAAGGACAACATCTTCCAACGTGTGTGTTACAAGTAATATATTTTTATATCATTGAGCATTACATAATTATCGCGAAATTATTTCACTATGTGCGCAATGTTATCTTGTCTGTCATAACTGGTCATGACACTCATGACTGTCGTACGCATCGAATGTGATCATATGACGAGTGTAAGGAAATTACAACAAATTTGAACTTTTGCACCAGTTCATCTTTTTTCCTTTTCTCTTCTTCTACTGGGGCGCCTTTAGATTCCCACCCGAGTGCTCCCAGGTGTCATGTCATCCTTGTTAACATTTGGTAAACAAAAAGGATACCTGGGTGGCACTCGGATGGGAAATTAGGAATCTGAACATAGCTTAGAGAAAAGGGAGAAAGATGAACTAATGCAAAAGTTCAATAAAAAAGAACAGACCTCTTGATTATTGGAGATGATTGGAGATCAAGATGTAGTTTCTACACTTGTCGCACTCCACAGTGCTGACGATCGTTCAGATAGAGCTAAGTAGTGCAACCAGAGAGAAACCTGAGAGCGGCCATGCCTGGGATTTAACTGTTACTTTATTTTGAAGCGCCTTTATGTCCACAAAACGTGGACATTGAACTATGTAGCCAATGTCCACGATCGTGTCGGCAATGTCCACAATTTTTTGGTTCGATTCTTCCCTATGTCCATGATTTTTTGGTTTGAATCTTCCCTATGTCCATGATTATCAATCCGTTAGCCAAACAAAGCAGACAACCAATCGATGTGTCTGAGACCAAGTCAGAATCAGTTCTTTTTGGTTGAACTTTTGCACCAGTTCATCATTTTACCTTTTCTCTTCTTCTAGAGAAAAAAGGAAAAAATACGAACTGGTGCACACAAAACACGAATTTTATATAATAATTGCAAAGCGGCATTCTCTGTTGAACACAACCACTAGGCCGATATTTTATCGGTCGACAATGACTGCAGAACAGAGTGATTCTCAGATCATCTATTCTTGAAAAGAAACGTATATATGTATATGAGAAATTAGAAAAATACTAATACAAAATTTATTAATAAGTTATAAAAAATAAAATTTTGAATTTTGTATATCTTCTAATAGAGAAATAAAAATTGCTGACTTTTAAGAAACTTGAAATCAAATATTCAAACGAATTAATTTCACGAATTTTGTCTTATAATACGTGTCTGTATAAAAATGGAATAAGGAAGTTGTTTTTTTTACGTTAACTCTCTCTCTTAGCCCGTTCTTACTAAATATATAGATAATTATTAGTAATTAGTACAAACGAGTTAGAGAGGCCCTCCACACCACCCCCGCCGATTTTATCGGCGGGCCTCTTTTCTTTATAAACTAGAACAATACAGGCGCGCGCTACGCACGCGCTATCAGCATTTGACATTATTAAAAAAAATATATACATAAGTAGTCAAAATGAGTAATCACTTATATTAAAAATAAATGATCATGTGAGTAGCTTGTAACGTAAAATCATATATTAAAAAATAATTTTCTTTTATCTTTTCTATATCAAGAAAATGACAGTTTGAAAACACTATCATTTCCACATCACCTTGCGGTAGATAGTATGATGCGTTTTTTTTATAGTGGTTTCCCCATTAGGCCTAATCCACTTCTCATATATTACCCTTTTATATTATTTTTTCAGAGGATGTTATTATAGATTTTAGGATACTTTTTGAATACGTTTTTCAATAAACATAAGATGTGTTGAACATTTTTGAGATATTATACCATTATATCTTTTTTTCATTATACCTTTCACAGAGTGAAAGTAAGGATAAGGAATAATAAATAATAAACAATATATGCACAAAAATAAAATAATCAAATAAATTAATAAATAATTATTTTTTAAAATAAATAAATATATATTTTTATTAAAAAGTTAAAACATTTAAAATTATTTATTTAATAACAAAGAAATAATAAAAATTAAGAATTTACTTATTCATAAATAAATTATAAATTAAAATTAATACAATGTTGCTTATGTAATATTATTTAAAGTATTTATGTAATACAAGTTTAAAAATACTTTTAACTTATAAGAACATTTTTCTTTAATTATTTTACTAATTTAAAAACTATTATAACCTTGACATTGTAATATTAGGATTTTTTAATATCATAAAAATTTACAATAAAAAAAGGTAAATACTGTACTTTTTAAAAGTAAATACTATAAGTAATATGTAAAGGCTCAAAATGATTTAAAATTAAGTAATAATAAATAATGCCTATATGAATCGACACAGTGTGACACAATTTATTGGAATTGTATAAATCATAATTAAATAATATGTAAAGGCTCAAAACGATATAAAACTTTAATATTATTAAGTACCTTTATGTTATTATTTTTTATTTAAAAAATAAAAGGAATTATTTATATATTTCTTTATATACATAATTTTTAATTTGTTTATTATCACGTTGACTACCTAGATAAACTTTTAATGCTTCCCAAGAATGTACTCTTGAAAAAGCAACATAAATCATTTAGCAAAAACGAGCTAAAGAGGCCCTCCACCACCCCCGCCGATTTTATCGGCGGTCCTCTTTTCTTTATAAATTATACTTATACTCGTAAAAAACGGACCATCGTAACAACAGCCTGTTTTTGCGGATAATTGTTGTTTTATATTTATATTTTTTATTTTCTTTATTTTTCTTTATTTGTTATATACTCGTACATCTTGAATACAATATTTAATGCTATCTTTGGATATAATACTTTATTCAATTTAATACATTAATAATTATAATATTTGTACAATAACTATGTGAATATTACAATGACAGTGACAATATATAAGAATAATAATATTTACAATCATAATATATACAATATAAATGCTGTCAAAATACATGAAAAATTATATTAAGAGAGAACATAATTAAAAAATTACATTATTATATATAATAAAATAGGATTACACGAAAACGTCGAAAATACGTACAAGAACACATAATTTTATCAAATGTATAGTTTCTAGATACATACAAATAAAATTTATTATATATCGTTATATACCCTAACAGTCTAATTAACGTATGATATAATTTATTAGTATATTTGTACAAATTACAAAAATTAATTTGATAACATTTTTATCTAAACATAGTTTACATAAATTTTACATTACGCATCCAATACTATAAACATTTATTTACAATAAAATTAAATCACAATTACAACATTAACGTGTTACACAAGTAATATCTGTATAATATTTTACATTGTTAAATTAAATTTCGATAAAGATTTGCTGAAAATACAATAAAAAATGTAAAACTATTAATTTATAATATATTATCTTCATATTTGCTAATTGGAACAGAATGCTGATAACTGAATAAAATTTAAAGTTTTATTCAATTTTAGTTC